CCGTCTTCTCTCACAGCTTCTAGCGCATGCCTCCTTCTGCCGCAAAGGTTGTTTGGAGCTGCTGTGTTTAGGGTCCGTGTCTGTCCCATCGTACACATGACACGTACATCGACGACCCGTCCTGACGTTCTGGCCGAGGGTGGATACACCAAGACTTCCCGGTCCTGCTGTACCCGAGGGAGACAACCAACCCATACACGCGGCGCAAACTAGAGAAGCGGTTTTGCCCTGCCTCTCGCAGGACATTTACTGGCGTTGATTTCTTGTTATTTCGTTGTTGCTCACAGCCAGGCGCGGCGCGTGCTTGCCTTGGCCTCATCTCGATATTGCATAAAATGGCGCGCTCTCTTATCCTTTTTGTACCCCACTCCCTCCCCCTTTTTTTTTTTTTCGTTTTTTTGTTCTCTCCTGGTCGTCGTCCGGGCCTCAGGTGGATTCTCCCGTCGCGAACCTGGTCCAGCAAGGCACGAACCTCCGGCCAGACATGACCATCCAGCACGACGACCATCACGAGGACCCCGAGTTGGCGATCCAGCAGACCATGCAGGTGGGGGGGTAGGTTGGTCGATCGGAGAAGTTATGGGTTTGTGGTGTAGGGTCGGTTCAACGTGTCTTGGGGGACATCTCGTGAGCTATAGCAGTGTGCGCTACAACCAGTCTGGAGTCAGCGCTGCTGCTGCTGCTGCTGCTGCTGCTTGGTGTTGTCGTTGTGTCTGTGCGGTTGCTCTCGTTCTCTATATGTACTCGCCCTTCTTTAATAAATTCTGCCCCCCCCCCCCCCTGGTTATGTTCGTTTCTACCCACCCCGTGAAGTCCATTGCGGAGCTGCCGCACCCCGTTATCGCCATCCTCCCGGGGGCGGAGACGGGGGTCGACTTGTCGGACAAGCTCGCCGCTCGGCTTGGGACCCGGAACAACGGGGAGGAGTTCACGGAGGCCAGGAGGAACAAGTACCTCATGGGGGAGCAGGCAAGAGAGAGAGAGAGAGAGAGAGAGAGAGAGAGAGAGATAGAGAGAGAGAGCATGACGACCGGGTTTTCGGTGGTGCCTGCGAAAACGAGTGTGGGTGGTTGTAGTTCTTGGACGATCTCAAACCACAACCTCCCTCTAAGTCTCGTCTAGCTGCCTTTTGTATTTTTGCCATTGTTTCTGTAACCGTTTCCCCCCGTGTTGTGCTGTTCATGCTGCTTGCTCTGTCTTGCGGCACGGCATGGCACCAACCACTTCGTCCTCCTGCTGCTGCTGCTAATGCTACTACTACTGCTACCGCTACTGCTACTTCAATAACCTTTTCGCCCTCTTTTTCGCGTTTTCTTGTCGCCTCGGCACAGGTGAGGAGCCACGGCGTCCGGGCCGCGAGGCAATGCTTGGCCAGAACCGGGGACCAGGTAACCGCCTTCCTAGACGACTGGAACCCGCCGTCCCCGTGGAAGGCCGTGGTGAAGCCGCTCGACAGCGCGGGGTCGGACGACGTTTTCCTGGTGGAAACCCGCGAGGAGGCGGTCCGATGTTTCGAGATCATCGACGGAAAGGTGCGTGGTCAGGGAAATAATTTGACGTTAATGATCTGGAGGGAGGGAGTTTTGTACGTTTTGTTTTAGTCTTGGGCGTTTTATTGTGTGTGTGTGTGTAGGGCGAACCCGGAAAACAAGCTTCGACTGGTTTTGTTGGCGTATGAGAGGGGGGGTTGGTTTGGCTCTTTTTTGTGGGAGGGAGAACCCGTGACCTGTAACGTAACGTAGCAACCCTTACGACAGGACGCCAGTCTGCGGGGGATTTGTTGAAGTGGATGTCGTTTGATTTCTTGGCGTTTCCGCTGAAAGGGTTCGCATGTGCACAGCATCAACGGGAGAGACTGACACGAAAAGAGAAATACCCGACAAAGCAGTAACACACCTACCCTTCGGGTGTATGAGGTTGGATTTTTGTTTTGGTTTCTACTAAAGTCACCTGTGCTCCGTCTGTGACGCCATCGATGGCATTTCGTCACCCTTGTTGGCCGTAAACAGGTGAACGGTCTGGGAGGCGTGAATGAGGGGGCGTTGGTCATGGAGTACCTGGACGGCACCGAGTACGTGGTGGACAGCGTCAGCAGGGACGGCGTCCACCGCATCTGCGCCATCTGGGAGTACGACAAGCGCTCGGTCAACGGGGCGAACTTCGTCTACTTCGGCATGGAGCTCAAGCCGGCCACCGCCAAGGTGTGTGCCTTCGTGAACCCACTAGACTAAAGGTCTCACCCGCGACTAGCGGTTATAGAGGTCAACAGCAAACCATTATGTATTCTAATATAATAGTTTGATTTCGTATTCGTGTGAAAACCAGGATATAAGTCTTCCTAGGGGTAATGATGCACATGCGGCCCGCAAAGATCGTCGGACTACATGAACAATGTTCTACCGTCCGAAGGCGTTTGCCAGGAAAGATTTACAGAATATCGTGACTATTCGTGTGACTCTCGGAGATGGGGAGATGGAGGCAAATGCGCCCCACGTTCCTCACTCTCACACCTTCCAACTTTCTTGAACTAGCTAAGCCGAGACTCTCGGCTATGCTTGGCACTTCGATTTTTCCTCCGTTGGTGAACGGTTATTCACCACTCCAGGGACCCTTACTCGTAACAGAGAGAGGGTATTCTCCTTCTTATGGTTTGATTTCGGCTTCTGTAGCCCCTTGTTTTCGTCCCGAAGCAGTGGACTGAGAGAGAGACGCCCGTCCTTGTTGATGGTGTTTTGCGGCTTCGTGTGGTAGATAGATTGTCACCCTAAGGTGATTGTGTGCTTGCCGTTGCGCTATTGATGTTAAGCCTTACCGCTGCGCGTTCTCGTGTGGTAGAAGCGACACTCACGTCGTCCTCTGGCGTAGTAGTAAAACGTCGCCATACGCTCATCTGTGTGTGTTCGGTACATGATATTTCACGAAATGTCTGCGGTAGGTTTGGTTCCCATTCCACCGCCGCTTCGGCCGCTGCCAGTTGGAACCCCACCCCTCAGAGTCAACCAGGCCAAACTCGGGTTAAACGGCACAACTTACGCATTTTTTTTTTTTTATGTTCCATCATAACGTTGGTTGACATGCCCACGCTCCCGTGGTGTTCAGAGGTACTCTCGGCAAATGCTCTCAACCTGTTGGTTCACGTTGGTATAGCACACCGACTCTGTGTGTGTTGCTGCTGTTCCCCGGCGGACAGGTTGAGCACGAAGTGGCGGAGTACGCAAGGCTTGTGCTGGATGCCATGGGCATTGAGAACGGCCCTGGCCACATGGAGGTGAGCTTTGGTTGGTCTTGTCCCTGCCACTGCTATATTTGTTGTTGTTGTTGTTGTTGTGGCGGGGGTGGATGGTGATAATGGTGTAGGAGGGGTCCTCGTGTTCCGCGTGGTATCGCTAGCCATGGTGTCTCCCTTGATGGTGGTTGATTAGACTGCGCCGTTTTGCTCTGCTTGCTCGAACCCAGGTAAAATACACATCGACCGGACCCTGCCTGGTGGAGGTGGGGAGTCGGTGCCACGGAGGGGAGGGCACTTGGCAGCCCATTGCGCAGGAGTGTCTTGGCTACAACCAGGTACTAAAACCTTTCTGTTCCCGTTTTTGTCTGCACCCCTTGCACAAACGCATGACGCACGTTTCTTTGTGCGTTCTTCTCTCTTTCCGCAATGTTTTTCTTGCGTGTAAATTCTGTAGGACTCTCCGGACCACGCTGTTCGCGCCGCACCTTGGAGGTTCCGTTGCCAGCATGTTATAACTTCGTTGCTTTGCTCTGCGATCATGAAAGAGGGAGTGTACAAGAGCCGCAGCTTGTAGCAGACAACGGCTTCACGAGAAAAAATCCGACTCCCTGGAGGGTGCCATGACGTTTCTGATGTTCCGACCACTGGTTATTGAACCAAGTGTTCTACGTACTGTAACAGGTTCCCCGACGGAGTATGTAGCACAAGTTCGGCGAAAACATCACTAAACAATCACACGATTTACGTTGATGAACCCTGTCGGAGCTGGGCGGTTGTATGCCCATGGACTTGTCAGCTAGCGCAGAAGTTATTTTTTTGAGGGAAATATCATGGCGCGGTCGAAACTGTTGCGCTCTGCCGGACTAAACATGTCCGTGAGCGTCACTCGTGGGAGCCACGGCGCCAGACACATTGGTATCTACGAAATCTACGAAACAACAGCCAACCACCTTCGTGTGGTATCTGTCCGTTTCGTGCGTTTCCAAACACGTTGCTCGCGCGGTTGCAAACGTGTCTCGCACACGGTCTCCGCTTTCCTAACGCTCTGGGCTTTGTGTCGTTGCTGCTGCTGCTGCTGCCGCTGCTGCCGCTGCTTCCGCTTCCGCCGCTGTTGGTGTTGCCTCGGTTTTCCCTAGATCGACGCCACGCTGGACTCGTACATCAAGCCGGACGTTTTCGAGCAGATTCCCCTGGAGCCCAACGACATGGCCAAGACCGGGAAGGAGGTCTTCCTCGTCTCCAAGCAGGAGGGGAGGATCGCCCGCGTACCCGGGGTGGACATCATCCGTGGCCTTGCTTCTTTCCGGTGAGCGTCTCGGTGTTCCGTCCCACATCGAGGGACTAGGGTCACCGTTTAGCACGTGTTGTCACGAGCGTTCTCGGCGTGCATGCGGGTCGTGTTAAATGGCCACCGCCGTCCCTCTCCTCTCTCCCACCTTATCGTCGTCTTCCCGATGGCGCCTCCAATCGTTGCAGGACTTTGGAAATGACCGCACAGCCGGGGTCCTACCTGAGGAAGACGGTGGACTGCTTCACTAGGCCGGGGGCAGTTCAGCTCGTCAACGAGGACAAGGAGCAGCTGATGGCCGACTATCTCAGGTAGTCAATCCCCCCCCCCCGGTGTTTGCCATCGGGGTTGGGTTTTCGTCGCTTGGCAACGACGTTGTAAAACAAGCCGCCCCCCCCGGTGTTTGCCATCGGGGTTTGGGTTTTCGTCGCTTGGCAACGACGTTGTAAAACAAGCTCCCCACTCGGTGTTTGCCATCGGGATTGTTTTTTTTTTTTACCTCGGTTTTTTTTTTGGCGGTAACCATAATGGTGGTCGAGTAGATCATGTTGTGCGGGGTGGAGAACCCTCACTCCGCGCAACGGGGGATGATCGCACCACGTTGTGTTAAAATGGTCAAGCTTCCTCGAGGCAGTTACACAGTGCTTACAACTGTCTCTGGAAGTAAAAGCACCAGAAAATAAATTAAGTCATACGTAGCTGTCATCCGTACGCAAGGAAGTAAGCACAAGATGCCGAACACCCTTAGCAGGATGCAGCTCACCCTTCATGCGACTCGCCAAATACCTCACGGCGCTTCGCGCTTGGTGATGTGAGAGCCTGGTCCGGTGAGAACCCGGCGTGCTCCGTCCCGGCTTTGTAGGGATGCGAGGTCAATGGTCAAACGACTACGGCATGCACGACTATGAGTACACCCCCCCCCCCCCCCCCAGTGACTCGCAGCCTTTGAAAAGCCCCCAAGGGGAGAAATTCTTCCCTCGTGTCTTTACGTACGTACTTCGAAACATGTTCTTGTTCATATTGTTTTAATGGACAGACACCAGTCGGTTTCCGTCGGCGGGTGGGGGCTGTGACTGTCTGCCCTGTATCCCTGAAAGTCTTAATGGCCCCGCCCATTCGTTTTTACCATCCCCCCCCCCCCCAAACACA